AAAATAATCACAACAATAAAACAAGGAATTTAAAAACGTTGAAAATGATTAAAAAAATTTATTTAAGAGGTTTAAAATTTAAGTTTTATTATTTATTAAGTTTTATTAAGTTTTTAACTTAAGTTTATTAAGTAAAGATCATGTTGCATGAAGATATTTTGTAAATTTCCTACCGTAATTATATCAAAACTTAATTTTTGATTAGTAATATGCATTGCTAAGAACTTCATTTGGATAACTTTAAAGGTGATTTTCTCAGTATTTTGATTTTTTTGCACCCTCAGATTCCAGATTTTCAAATAGTTGTATCTCGACCAAATATTGTCCTATCCTAACAATCCATACATTAATGGAAAGTTTATTTATTCAGCTTTCAGATGATGTATAAATCTCAATTTTGAAAAATTGACACTTAAGACTGGTTTTGTGTTCCAGGGTCACATATTATATATTTATTTATATATATTTAACTTTTATCTTACTGACCCCAAACTTTTGAACAGAAGTGTACATCATTTGCACCCTTTTTCCTACTGTATACAGTGTAAATTTAGTACCTCAAGTTCACCTTCACGTGTTATTTGCAAGAGCAATTTTCTTCAGTTTTTTATTATCCAAATTATTTTAAAAATCTTTGCATGCTTTATGACAGACAAGGACTGAAATAAAAAAAATCTAGATAATCCTGCCTTGGATAAAGGTCTAGGACAGACAGATTTCTTGGAGGCTAACTGTTAAATGTAGATTTAATTTCAAATAGTAATTTAATCTATATATTTTTATTGTATTTTTTTTTTATTTTTTTTTATCAACGCAATAAGTAACTTTCGTACTTAGACTGATTTTTTTTCGTTCGATTCGTTCAAAACAGACGTGAGAATACGCGCTCGACCAATGACGTAGAATTAAACCGACAACCAGTTGTAGTCCTTACGTAGCGACTTGCTAGCAACTTGTTTTTTTTTTTTTTAAAACAAACAGCTATTTCAAAAATAATGTTTGATGTATGACTGTGTGTAATTTACGTTGTAGAACAAAACTTGAAAGTCTCCTCGAGTAATGTTAACCACAGAGCTTATGGCAGAAACCCGTGGCGGGTTGGCCTACAAATTGACGTCATCACTGAACAGCTCGTGGCCTGTGAACACAAGCGCGAGTCGGGAGCGCGCGTCAGCTGACATCCGCGGAGAGAGCAGCCAGACATGGACCAACTCAAAGTCAAAGACAGGATCCTCGAAAACATCTCTCTCTCCGTCAAGAAGGTAAGAATCCTCTATACATGCAGCGAGGATAAATATAGACCTTCTCTAGTTCATAATTTGAAGGATAGTTTGAGGTTTTCGTGGTTTACGCTATCAAAATAGTTGGGCCTCCCCCCCCCCCTGCTGTGTTTTGGTGAAGACAAACGCCTTGACATCTTAAGAAATAACATCCAGTGTTTCCTTATAAGTCAAGATTTAATAAATACCAGGTTAGACAGAGAGCTGTCAGTGCACTATATTGCGTTATTCTAGGCTATATTGTGCACCTATAGCGTAGTTAATACCTGTTATCTGTAAAATAATATAAAAAAGAAAAAGTCATTTTAGGCATGAGTCAAGTAAACAAGTAAACACCGTTTACTGCATCATGGACACGTCAAACAGTGACATGATGCACCCGTAAACAAGTCCTGTTATCAAATGAGATGCTATTAATAGGGCAAACAAAGCTTGCTACTTATTTTATGGGGCCATCCCAGGACATCCTGTCTTTGTATGCTCTTTTTGTTCTGCAGTAACTTACTGAATCTTTGCTGTTTGCAACGTCAGAATGTTTGTTCTTTCTTTGTCTGTCTTTTGCTGCTGTGTTATTCTGAATATTAGCAACTTGCACACACTGTAATCGTTTGACTTAATCATTCAGATTTTAGCCTGTCAGGTGCTTGGCATTAGTACGTTCTCATGGTTTTATGATGGACTTATACACCAAGAAGCTCTGCTTTCATCAGTGAATCACAGAACTGTGAATTCTGAAAATGCATTTCTCATCAGAGGTTGTTCATCTAGAATGAAAAGGATTGCTTGGAATGTCGTGGCTGTGTGCATGTCAGAAATTTACCAGACATTTTTCTTTCACATTCAAGTGATTGTTTTTTTTGAAAAACATTTTTTAACATTTAATCCGCAGTTGCAGAGTTACTTTGCTGCCTGTGAGGATGAGACGCCAGCCATCAGGAATCACGACCGGGTTCTTCAGCGGTTGTGTGAACACCTGGATCATGCTCTGCTTTATGGGTTAGACAAATTGCACCAGAGCCTTTCAAAACCAAAACTCTTTTTAAGTAGACATTTGTAGGCTCACCGAACTTCTCTTTTCTCTACATCTCGAAGGCTGCAGGACATCTCATCAGGTTATTGGGTACTCGTATTACACTTCACACGACGAGAGGCTGTCCAACAGATAGATGAGCTCCAGCACATAGCTACCAATCTTGGCCGAAGTAAGATCAAACCTTTACCACCTATGATGACTTGTTGATGTGCTTTATAATTGTTGAAAAGTACAGAACCATTCAAAAGTTTGGAGATGGTAAGATTTGTAATGTTACAAAAATGTATATTTCAAAAGTGCTGTTCTTTTGAACTTTCCATTTATCAAAGAATCCTGAAAAATTGTTTCACAGTTTCAGCAAAAATATTAAGCAGCACAACTGTTTTCAATATTGATAATAAGAATTGTTTATTGTACAGCAAATCAGCATATTAGAATGATTTCTGAAGGATCACGTGACACTGAAGACTGGAGTAATCATGCTGATGAAAATTCAGCCTTGTCATCACAGGAACAAAATAATAAAATTAAAATAGATTAATGAAATAAAAATCATTTATTTTAAATTGTAATTATTTCACAATGTGACTGTGTTTACTCTGGTCTAAATGGTGACCATAAGAGACTTCTTTCAAAACATTAAAACATCTTACTGACCCCAAACGTTTGAAATGTAAATATGAAGTATTTGCAGATATATTCAGATGTTGAATATTGTGGCACTGTGTGGACATTGTTTCATGTAGTTAACTATGACTGCTATGTTGTTGTTCCACAGGTCGTTCCTGGCTTTACTTGGCACTCAGTGAAAGTTCTTTAGAAAGCTACCTCCGACTTTTTCAAGAGAATCAAGGACTGCTCCAGAAATACTATTACAAGTGGGTGACTTTGAAATAATATTATTGTCCTTCTGTGGTTTCAGACCACAGATGAAAGCTTCCTTTCAGCAGTCATCTGATTTTGTGATGTGTGAACGCTGTTTCCTCCTTTACAGAAATGCACTGGTTTGCAGTCATGACCATCTCACTCTGTTTCTTACACTTGTCTCTGGGCTGGAGTTCATTCGCTTTGACCTCGAATTGGTATGACTCTTCATTGATTTCTCCTGTCTAGAATTAGACAGGCTTTTCCACTGTATGTCCTAGACCTGATGTGTCTCATACAGTTTAGTGCCAAACAACTGACTTCTCTTTACAAACTGTAGAAAGTATATCATTAAGGTGCTCTGACTGGTCAAAAAGTTTTGTTTTAGTCAATCTTGCCTTCAGTAGTTCATTTTAAATAGCCCTGCAATGTGACAAATTAATTAAAACATATTTACAAATAAGTATGAATATTCCATGTTGTCTCTCAATGTAAGGCATTAATTAATAACTATGTTTGTATAATAATTATAAAATAACTAGCAAAACTATTTAAAATAGTTTTAGATGGAGTATTGAATGCCACATACACTTACCAAACATATTTATATCAACTACTCACTTATAATATAAAAATTCTGCTTTTCCATTACTACATTTTGTACTGTTCTATATCTTCCATGACTGAAGATTTCAATATTTCCACTGCCTAGTGCCTAATACTTAATTTTTTAATTGGTGACAGGACGTGCCATATCTGG